TATTTATATATATATATATATATATATATATATATATATATATATATATATATATATGTGTGTGTGTGTTTATTTAATTATTTTTTTTATATATACTGTACACACCTGCAGTATCCCTGCAATATGGATGTGGATTTATGTAATGAGTGTTACTTTCCTTTTTATGTATTGTATTTATTGCAGAATCCTAACTGGCAATAACAACTTAATATATATTTACAATAAATGTATCAATTAATCATGCAAGACTACAGAGTGCATGACACCTTAACTACTCTGTGAAACGAGTTCTAAAACTTTACAAAACTATACTACTTCCACTAAAGCTGGACTGGAAGACAGACAGATCTATTTGATGATGGGTTTTAGCTATTTTTTAGGAAGAGTGCAATGATATAATGTGTTACTTTTTAAGCCAAAAAGGACACCATAGAGACTCTGGGTGACAGACATGCAATTCTCACCAGGTAGACTGTGCGCTGAAAAAAACTGGTGGTCTCTAGGATCTTGTGCATGACGACTGTCTCAAGTTCATCTGGGTCTAACTGCTCACGTTGTAAAGGCATTCCATTATACAACACCACAGGCAATGGGCCAACACCAGTCTGCTCATAATATGCCTTTCCCTCCTGTGGAGACATAGAAGATATGACCTCAATAAGGGTTATGGGTACTGGGAGACACAAAGAGCTATTAGCACAGGAACCACCTCTGGCTGACAGTTACATCCTTAATCTCTACAGTTGATAAAAAAAAAAACTCATCCACAATATTCTGTCTCTTTTGGCAAGAGTATGACATCTGAGATGGAGTACTGCTGAAATATTCAAAGCACACACATTAGAAAAACAAATTCCTCACTTTTCTGTTGTTGTCGTAGGCAGAGTCAGGCCCCAGGATGCTGCTGATCTCTACATAGGGATATCTCTTCTCCAACACACCCACCACATGTTCCACCTTCAGTTTGCCACCACTGGGAACTCTGTTCAACATCTGAAAGACATATCAAAAATTATTTTCTTGAAAAGGCAAATCTATATCCAGTATGCTCCTAAACATAGACAAAATCCATCACTAAATTGGTGTTGTATGAAGTACTGGTGATGTTGTTGACTTACAGATATGATGGCATCGAAGGCCATCTGGCTGTCAACATCGTCAGAGATATAGTTGAAAGCTCGAAGTAAAGCCACACCAGCATCCTGCATCCCATCAACCTCATCAGAATCATTCACCACAAACACCACTCCAATCCTGCAGACGGAAACACAGAAATCATCAGAGAGAGACACAATAACTACACTGACAGGTTACAGAGTTGACCAAACATTTAAGTCTATAATTGCAGTATATATATATATATATATATATATATATATATATATATATATATATATATATATATATATATATATATATATATATATACAAAACTGTTTATGGGTGTTAATGCCTTTATTATATATTGAGAGATGCTGAAAAAGTTAAATGAAGGGGTGAGAATGGCACAAGAAACTGACCAGATTTGAACCTGCTTTCCTGCAGGAGCACCATGGCTCCTACGCATTGTGAAACATTAATCATGTTCTTGTAATAATGTTCGGTCTATTTTCAGACTGACCTGAGTGGGATGTTGTTGCTGTAAAACATCTCAGCCACGCTGATCAGCTCTGCCGTGTTCTCATGGGTTGGATCCAGAATCATCACCTGTCAGAATGACACAGACATTTCTGAAATGATCCGCAGAATTCAGATCTATTTATGGGATTTACATTGTGAACTGTTAATGTCTGAAGGAAACTTTCATATTTACACAACACTTGCAATACTTACCAGATTATGAAAGTTTTTCCGGATCTGTCGAATGACTCCTGGAAAGGTGGGGCGCAGCAGCTCCTGCACATTAGAGGGCCAGGATGCATATCGGCCATCTGTCTCCAGGTTATTAATCCACTGGAGAAAGAGCCTGCTTTCCTGCAGGAGCACCATGGCTCCTACGCATTGTGAAACATTAATCATGTTCTTGTAATAATGTTCGGTCTATTTTCAGACTGACCTGAGTGGGATGTTGTTGCTGTAAAACATCTCAGCCACGCTGATCAGCTCTGCCGTGTTCTCATGGGTTGGATCCAGAATCATCACCTGTCAGAATGACACAGACATTTCTGAAATGATCCGCAGAATTCAGATCTATTTATGGGATTTACATTGTGAACTGTTAATGTCTGAAGGAAACTTTCATATTTACACAACACTTGCAATACTTACCAGATTATGAAAGTTTTTCCGGATCTGTCGAATGACTCCTGGAAAGGTGGGCCGCAGCAGCTCCTGCACATTAGAGGGCCAGGATGCATATCGGCCATCTGTCTCCAGGTTATTAATCCACTGGAGAAAGAGAAAAAAAAGGGTTTATTCTCTATTCTCTCTCCCAGAAAACAAAACCAACAAACAAACAAAAAAAACACATAGCTCACGTTAACAGCAGGGTTGCGGATGTCCACTGCATAGTCAGAGTCTGAGGGCTGAACATTAAGTTTGAGGATGTCGTGGATGTAGGGTGTGTCTATAAGCAGACTACGCAGACCCTCCATGACCCTTGCCTCATCCCTCAACACGTCAAAAACGCTGCAAAAATCACATAATATACAGGGTTACAGCATGACAGATCAAAACATCAACAAACCAAACACATCAAACTTTATGTTACATCATTCAAATGTTTAGGTTTTTTATTTTTATTTTTTGGCAAGGATGTATCGAATTGATCAAAAGTAACAGTAAAGACATCTTCAAATTCCACATTAGAGGGCCAGGATGCATATCGGCCATCTGTCTCCAGGTTATTAATCCACTGGAGAAAGAGAAAAAAAAGGGTTTATTCTCTATTCTCTCTCCCAGAAAACAAAACCAACAAACAAACAAAAAAAACACATAGCTCACGTTAACAGCAGGGTTGCGGATGTCCACTGCATAGTCAGAGTCTGAGGGCTGAACATTAAGTTTGAGGATGTCGTGGATGTAGGGTGTGTCTATAAGCAGACTACGCAGACCCTCCATGACCCTTGCCTCATCCCTCAACACGTCAAAAACGCTGCAAAAATCACATAATATACAGGGTTACAGCATGACAGATCAAAACATCAACAAACCAAACTTTATGTTACATCATTCAAATGTTTAGGTTTTTTATTTTTATTTTTTGGCAAGGATGTATCGAATTGATCAAAAGTAACAGTAAAGACATCTTCAAATTAATTTCACTGCTTCTTTTGAACTTTATTGAACAAAGAATCCTGGGAAAAAACTGTCACCTTTGCCATCACAGAAATAACTTACATTATAAAATACACTCTCACAGAAAACAATTATTTCAAATTGCATTAATATTGCACAATATTACTGGTTTACTGTATTTTTGATCAAATAAATACACCCTTTGGGAGCATAAGAGACTTCTTCAAAAACATACCCAAAAAAATTACATATGCCAAACATTTGAACAATAGCGTATAATATAGGTGAATATTAAATACTGTATTATTATTTTAGTTACATTTTTATTATCAAGTCATTATTTTCAGACTTCTGCTAAGTATAAGTAATTATTGTTTATAATGTAATATTTATATTTAATAAATAATACATATAGAAAAATAAAAAATCCAGCTGCTTAGTGCTTACCTGAAAATATCCTGCACATCCAGGTCAATATGGAGTCCATTGATAAACAGAGCTGAGTCCCCTGGCTGGAGACCTAATGTCCCTTTAAAATACTAGAGGAGACAAAAGAAGGTGAGATATTAGGTATGACATTCACAATTCGCCTTAATGTAACCTCCCAAGCCCTGTGGGTTGCTAATCCCTGGATGAAACATATGTTTCTGTCACTTCATAGAGCAGAACAGAAGTTGAAAGAGATGCTCAATATGATCTATAATTCAAACACACTCTTTTGAGTCTCAGGCCATTTCCACTCTATATATTCATGCTTTTATCCATGGCACTCATGTTTGTTATTCGCTAAAGGCACATGCATTAGAGCGAGGGAGCTCGTTAGAGAACCTTAAAGAGGTTCCATTCGTCACGTTTCCCAGCATGCAATTACAGTGAGGAATGAGGAGCAGGTCCGTTACACGTCCTCATTACAAGAGGCAAGAAACAGCTTTAATCACAGAAAGGAAATGACCGAAACAATGAACGAAGCCACGTATAAACCGCATTCGCCACAATTACTTCATTAATTACCTTTTCAGCGACAAAACAAAAGCGTTTACACACGTTCCAATACAGAGGAACGTGGAGAAAAAAAAACAAGCATAGAGGTGGAGAGGAATGATTCTCCATTCCACTAACAACCAAAACACTTTAAAACTGATGTTCTTTCATTTTAAACACCGGTTTTAATATATGGGAAGAGAGAATCATTGTAAGACTTTGTCATGACTTTTCTTGGTGAGTTATGAGGCAAAAAACAAAGACTTGACTGGGCCTCTTCTTTGAGTCCATTATCTCAGCGGTGCAGCAAAAAAACTTAGTGAATGAGAATACCTGCTGACGCCACAGCTTTGAGAAAAGGACTCTAGGAACATGAAAAAAGGACAATGGTAGCCCTCACCTTTTGATTTTCCTCAATCTCCTTCCGGATCTCTGAATTAACAACCGTTTTTGTTATGGACCTGAGAGGGGAGAGAGAAATGTGCGTGGTTATACTGAAAATGATTCATTAGTTCATCATGATGATTCATTATGATCACATTTTGAATGCACAGCCTACTGGAATCTGCATAAAAATGTCTGTGCTGACTGTTTTAATCAACGCTGTTTAACTAGATAGAGATGAGATTGCTTTCACTGACGTCATGCAAGTCTACATTCAGACATTTAAAAAAAAAAAATTTTTTAATTAAAAAAAAAAAAAAAATTCCATTAAAAAAAAAAAAAAAAAAAAAAAAAAAATCACAGGAATAATCAATATCCAGATTAAATCTCTCTTAGCTGCATATCCCATGTAACATTTTAAATGTAGCCTCTTTTATTTAAACACATGTTATGGTATCACAGCTGTGAAATGACAAACAAAACAAAAAATACACATTCCGAAACATGAACTGAAATGAATTGTGAATTATATTAACATTAAAGCATTGTCCTCCTCCCATTTTCACCTCAAAATTTTGGGGAAGCTGTGCCTCCCCTACTTCCTCCGACGAGCCACCACTGTCCTCTTGTTGTTGAAACATGCTCTCTTGTCCCCTGCGTACCCTCTTGTTAACCTTCGTGGTTGATTACATAGCATCAAATTCATAAGCCTAATTTCACAACTGTTGCTCATTCATCCTAACAAAGCAAGTGTTGCAAGTGCAAGCATCTTTAGAGCAAGGAATATATGATATTAACCTAAAAACTAGCAAATAAAATGCTCATGCAACTATGCTCATTCCTAGCACTTGGTGCCATTTGAGTCCCCATGACATAAGCTTGTCCCAAAGTGAAGTGCAAAGACTCCGAAGTGCGCATTTGAAGTGGGATTGCGTCACAGCGTCACGACGTAAGCTGTCCCAATTCAAGAATGCAGCCTCCGAAGACCGCATTCCAAGGCCGATTTGCGTCACCGCGGCGTGACGAAGGCTGACGTATTTCTAAAGCGACTTCAAATGCACCCTCCGTTTCCCAGGATAATGAAGTGTACATCTGATGGACACGTCGCACCCTACCATATCCCAGAATCACTTGCGCGCAGATGATGGAATTTATATTCAAAGAACATGGAGGATGACAGTTCTGTGGGGGAATTCACATTGAAATGTAAGTATTGTGTTTTCATTTACTAAAGTACCTAGCAAAACAAGTGTTAAAAGCCAGGGTTTAAAAAAAAAACAAAGCCCACAAACAATAAGACAACCACTATATAAGGCAATAGTCTTTCTTTTTGTTGTGATATTGTAGTGCTGTCATGGCTACAAATGTTTTAAACAAACCTTAGCACTTCAGTACTTTGTATGCATGTCATGCTGCGTCATATTTTCTAATGTTAAGATTGCAAATCTGTCTTTATAGTTTTTCATAAGTGTATCCATTTTCTCTTGTTGTAGGACTATTCTGGAGAAAATGAGGCTGCTGGGGCTTAAAAAATACAAAGTAAGCACGTTAATAGAGAGGTTTTTGCTGAAATTGATTGTGCTGTTCTTGTTATCAAGCATGGTTTGTTTGCTCTGCTTTCGCCGTCATGCAAGTCTACATTCAAAAATTTAAAAAAAAAAAATTTTTTAATTAAAAAAAAAAAAAAAACTTTTTTTTTTTTTATAGAGTCGATGACTCAGAGCTGCAGTTAATTGCTCTGGGCGATACATGACTGCGTATTATGCTCCATGATGTCAAGGATCACTTTAACAAAATTGCATTTTAGTGTGGGCGGCACATTTAAAATACATTTGCCAAAAAAAAACAGCTGTGGCTGCAACGTCTGGGCCAAATAAAGCATATTATTTTCATCATAACTGCTGACGGCTCGTTTTTTATCCTTTAAGTGTTAATTAAACCTTGGAAGGCAGTAAAGACTCAAAACATCCAGCTCGGACTAAACTTTCTAATGACTTGAGCGGTCTGCTGCCAGGGTTTCTGAACTGAAAAGCACTTACTACAATAGAGCCAATGAGGAATTAATGAATAAACACAGAAAAGTGGCTTTTGAAAGTGAAATAATAAACCGTACGCCACATATAAACACGTTATGTCACACATGGTTAAGACGCAGTGTTTCCAGCATCAATTTAGAGCCTTCGCTGAAAATGAAATGTTGTGCATATTGGCAAAATCTCAGCTATTCAGAACATGTTCATTGTTAAATATACAGTGGAGTAATATTTAGGACCAATGATATTTTAAAATAAGAAAACAAAGGAAACAGGATTTTTTTTGCTTTATCATGTCTGGTTAGGACTCAAGTGTTTGTAATGGACAGGTGGTTATTTACCTGGCTTTGGTTGGGAAGTTCTGGCTCAAATCCCTCATGACATTGAGAGCGTCCACAGAGGGAGCTGCCAGGATACGGGCGGCAGTCTGAAAGCTGAGATCTTGAGGAGAAGAATAAAGAACACAGGTTATTCAAACCTGCATTTCTGCTCCTGAAATATTCAAGATCTAATTTGAAATAGCCATGACCTGTATATGGCATGCCAACTTCTCAGATTCTACATATAATGAATTTGATGTGCCAAAGCACTTTTCCAGTACCATTGGGAATAGTGCGTTCATCTGTGTGTGTTGGCTCAGAGGTTTTGCTAAATGTGACTAGTCTCTGATGAGTTTACCTTGATAGAGCAGTAATGAGCTCTGGGCTAGAGGGAGTTGTGTTTGACAAACACGCAAGGCCAGCAGAGCCACAGCTAATTAACAATGTGAAAACGTTCCATTTGCATACCGTCAGAATGAGTATTGAGCTACCCGACTGCTCCTTTAGTCACAGGTAATATAATAATTGAGCTTGAAAGCCCTTGAAGTAGTGGCATTAATGTAAGTGTGCCAAATAGTACAAGAGGCTCTGCTACCTAAACACTGTAGCACACATCTCTTGCGGACCTCAATATAAACACCTGCAGCCAACAAGCATTTCATTTAAATTTTATAGATGCCAGAAGTTTCACCAGTTCAACAACACTCACCTTGCATCTGCCAGACTTTAAGTGGGGCCATATCATTGGTGCTCTCAATCAAATGCTTCCGGAGCTCCTTCAGCTGTTCCTTAAGTTCAGGATAAATGGTCCTGACAAATACAACACATGATATCAAGATATACTGTTATGTAATTTCAAACACGGATGCATTTTAGTCAACGGAGAGCAATCTTTAATGTTTATGGAGTTTTAAATTACTTGAGTTTGCCAAACAGAAAGCCCTGGACTTCATCCACAGGATCGTTTTCACCTATTACAGTGGCATTCACATCAGCTCCAGCTGTGGAAAAATGGAGAAAAGATAAATGAGTTTGCTAATTAGACGATAGCTGTATTTAACCCTTGTGTTGTGTTCAAAACCCTATTAAACTTACGATGTTACAGGGCAAAAAGGAACCGGCCTCAAAAAATTGCTTATAAATCACTCATTATGCTATATTATCAACAAATATTGGATTCAATCTTTTTGTCAAGTTCTGTTCTTTCATTTAGGACTAACAAAATAGGTTTTGTATTTATAGTTGCTTCTGATTAATCATAGGCCTCATTTATCTGAGAGTACGCACCTCATTTTTTGAGTGAAAAAAGCATTTTTATGAATAATTTTCACAATATTAAATAAAAACTGAAGAAAATTTGCACTGTTTATCACACGAGTGTGCTTTAATGCTTAATCAGGGAGTTTGTTTTTTTGTCAACTTATTTTCTTTCATTTAGGATTGGTTTTGTATTTATATTTGCATCTGATTAATCGTAGGCCTCATTTATCTGAAAGTAGGCACCTCATTTTTTGTTTTGAAAGGCTTTTATTTTGTACAAAATGGCACAAAGTCACACTTGTGGTGTTCCCGGTCAAAAATGACTGACCATTCAGAGTGAATGGGAAAGATCACAAAAAAGACCTTTATTTTGAAATGCTTTTATTTTCTGTAAAGGGGCAAAAAGTAACACTTTTGCTGTTCCCTGTCAAATCTGAACATTGTGGCATACGAGAAAGAACACATTAAAGGGTTAGTTCACCCAAAAATGAAAATTCTGTCATTAATTACTCACCCTCATGTCGTTCCAAATCCGTAATACCTCAGTTCATCTTCGGAACAAAAATTAAGATATTTTTGATGAATTCTGAGAGCTCTCTGACCCTCCCATAGACAGTAATGTAATTACCATGATCAAGGTCCAGAAATGTAGCAAGGAGATCGGTAAAATAATCCATGTGACATCAGGGGTTCAACCGAAACTTTACAAAGCTTCGAGAATACTTTTTGTGCGCAAAAGAAAACAAAAATAACGAATTTATTCAACAATTTGTCTCTTCCGCGTCACCCTGGTGCCATTTTGGAAAGTATAATTTTTGGGTGAACTATCCCTTTAAGATTCTTATATAGAGAACATTTCATGGAACAACAAACCAATATTTATACTGTCACAAAAAATAACACCGACACTGTCATACAGAGACAATGTCATGCAACAACAAATCTGACCATTGTGACATGAAAAAACAGCACTGCCATATCGAGAACATTTAATGGTTCAACAATATTTATATGCGCTGTCTTTGTGCTAAAGCATTTATTAGTAAACTTTTGTCTGCTTTGTGAGAACATGAAAGCCTCAATACCTATTGTCATAATATTTTGTCTAGAAGGTGTGATGAAAGAAAGAAGATGAACGAACGATTCTTTTGAAGCAGGGTGAAGCCAGTTCATGTGTGTGTGTGTGTGTGTGAGAGAG